CTTTTTAGTGCTGAATAATATTCCATTCTCTGGATGTACACAGTTTATTTATCCCTTCATCTCCTGAGGACATCTTGGTTGCTTCCAAGTTTTGTTCTGGATCTCTTTGCAGGGGCTAGGGGATGAAAGATGGGTGAGAAGAGAATGGGTGGGGAGATAGGAAAGAAGTATCTTCCAGCCAGAGAACGGATCACTAGAGGTAAGTTGTAAGGTGGATGTTGTGTCTTATTTTTCAAACATAGCCTTAAAAGTCATGCAGCATCACTTCTGCCATATCCTATTGGTTATAAGATCATTACAAACACCCAGATGCAAGTGGAGAATTAATTCCACTTCCTAACAGGGAAAGCAAGGTTCTAGAACAATACTGTACAACACAGTGGCCATTAGCCACACATGGCTATTCACAATTAAATTAATTAAAACTAAAATTAGAAATTCAGTTCCTCAGTCACACTAGCCACATTCAAGTGCTCAATAGCCACAGGAGGACTTAAAATGTTTCCATCATTACAGAAGGTTCTATTGGACAGCACTGCTCTAGAAGAACAAGTGAGACAGGAGATATTGTAGCTATCTTTCAAAGCTACAATCTGCCACTAGCACTGAGACAAACCAAATTGCATTAGGAAAGGCAGACTAAAATGGCGCAATGACTCACATGGTGTTCTACACAAGGGTTGGCAATAACTGCTGCTGTTTATCTCGAAGAGGAGACAACTTGTGTTAAGTCTCTCAAATGAAAGAGAGTGTAGATGCTAGTCCCAGGGGCTAAAAATTCGGCCACTAGGAAGAGATCTCAGAAGGGTGATTTCCAGACATGTGTTTTCCATCTTTATAGTATCACGGATCTCTTTAAGCATGTGATAAAAGTCACTTCTCCCCAGAAAAATATGCATATATACAATATGATACACTGAAGTTCAGAGTTCCCTCCCAAATCCATCCATGGACTCTCCAGATCAGAGTCATATTCTAGGCTGTGAGCTCCTGGAGGTATTTCCTTAGCCATAGTCATGAGTAGTGTGTGTGGCCTGGATGACATTCATCACTGTGTATTAACAGAAAGAGGCACATTTCTGCTCAATACAAGTAAGAATTTTAATAAGCAAAGAGGCTTTTAAGGGAAATAGGTAATGTCAGGAAATCAGAAAGTTTCCAACACTAGAAGTATTCATGTAGATTGCCGCTGATAATGTAGAGAAGATTTCAGTGTACAAGCTAAACTGAATAAGCTGTGAGGTCTTGCACAGTGCTGGCGTTCCAAGCTTCTAATAAAAGTGACAAGGCCTGGGGCACCTGGGTGGCTCAGTTGTTAAGCGTCTGCCTTCGGCTCAGGTCATGATCCCAGTGTCCTGGGATGGAGCCCCGCATTGGGCTCCCTGCTCCGCGGGAAGCCTGCTTCTCCCTCTGCCCCTCCCCCTGCTTGTGTTCCCTCTTTTGCGGTCTCTCTCTGTGTGTCAAATAAATAAATAAAATCTTAAAAAAAAAAAGTGACAAGGCCCAAGTGCAGGAACAGTCACCCACAATTTGGAGGAAGAAAGCAGAATCTAGAAAGTTTTCATACAACTGGTGGCATTTCAGATGGGCTCAGAGTAGGGATACTGGGTAAGGGCACAAGATCATTTTTAGGGGCTCACTTAAAAGATTTAATACCCTTCAGTTTAATTACCTATAGTGATCTGGTTTCTGGCCAACTGGTAAATACTTCTCTCCCTATCTTACCACCTTTCTTTATCCACCTGTTTTCTGTTGCTGACCCCCTCCCCTGCCCTAAGAAGAATCTACAGTGAAGCATTTGTTTGGATTATCCAGGTGGTTTCTACATGCAATGACAAATATCCTTATAAGAAGGAGGCAGACAGAGGTTTAATATATGTGCTGCCGAAGCGAGCACAGGCAGACAGAAATTTAAGATAGAAGAGAAACAGGCCATGGGATGGAAGCAGAATCACAGAGAGGATGCTATGTTGCTGGTTTTTTTTTTTTTCTTTTAAGGTTTTATTTATTTATCTGTTAGAGCACGCACAAGCAGGGGGAGTGGCAGGCAGAGGGAGAAGCAGGCTCCCCGCTGAGCAAGGAGCCCAAATCGGGACTCTATCCCAGGACCCTGGGATCATGACCTGAGCTGAAGGCCTACGCTTAACTGACTGAGCCACCCAGGCGTCCCAATGCTGCTGGTTTTGAAGATAAAGAAAGGGACCATGAGCCAAGGAATGCAGCTCTAGGTGCTGGAAAAGACAAAGGAAGCAAATTCTCCCTTAGAGCTTCCAGAGGGAGTGAGTCTGACATCTAGAACTGTAAGAGAATAAATTTTGCTTTAAGCCACCAAGCATATGGCAATTTGTTAAACAGTTATAAGAAATTAATAAAACTGGGGACAGAGCTGATTAAGAACCAACCCATATCTCATTGTAGTTTTGATATGTATTTCTCTGATGCCAAGTGATGTTGAGCATTTTTTCATCGGTCTGTTGGCCATTTGTAGGTCTTCTTTGGAGAAATGTCTGTTTATGTCTTCTGCCCATTTCTTGACTGGGTTATTTGTTTTTTTGGGTGTTGAGTTTGATATGTTCTTTATAGATTTTGGGTACTAGCCCCTTATCTGATAAGACATTTGCAAATATCTTCTCCCATTCTGTATGGCTAAAATTAACAAGTCAGGAAACAACAAATATTGGCAAGGATGCAGAGAAAGGAGAACACTCTTACACTGCTGGTGGGAATGCAAGCTGGTACAGCCACTCTGGAAAACAGTATGGTGATTCATCAAAAAGTTAAAAAGACAGCTACCCCACAACCCAGCATTTGCACTACCAGGTATTTACCCAAAAGGTACAAACATAGTGATCCTAAGGGGTACCTGCACCCCAACGTTTATAGCTGCAATGTCCACAATAACCAAACTATGGAAAGAGTCCAGGTGCTTATCGACAGATGAATGGATAAAGAAGATATGGTGTTATACACACACACACACACACACACACACACTAGAATATTACTCAGCCAACAGAACAATGAAATCTTACATTTGCAATGATTTGGATGGGATTAGAAGGTATTATGCTAAGTGAAATAAGTCAATCAGAGAAAGACAATTATCATGTGATTTCACTCATATGTGGAATTTAAGAAACAAAACAGAGGATCATAGGGGGAGGGAGGGAAAAATAAAATAAGATGAAATCAGAGAGGGAGACAAGCCATAACTGACTCTTAACTATAGGTAACAAACTGCAGGTTGCTGGAGGGGAGGGGTGGGGGATGGGGTACCTGGGTGATGGACATTAAGGAGGGCAGGTGATGGAATGAGCACTGGGTGTTATCTGCAACTGATGAATCACAGAACTCTACCTCTGAAACTAATAATACACTATATGTAAATTAATTGAATTAAAATAAAATAAAATAAAAAAGAACCAACACATAGACTCAGAATCTCTGCTTCCTCCAAATTCCAAAGACTTGCTCCTAGATCAAGTTCATTATGTCAATGGCCTCTTCCCTGAGGTTGAATCTGCTCTGGAAGCTCTTCAGGCATCATCCTCACCCCCCACACCCAGGTCCCCTGACAAATCCACACATCAAATTTAGCAGTGGACAGAGCTTGAACAGTCCTTAGTGGGCCTTAGGCCCTTTGCAAATACTCTTTTGTCAGGTCTCTCCCACCAGTTTCAAACATACGCAGACATATCCTTAGCCCTGCATGTATTGTCTGAACTCTGAATAACATAAGAAACTCACTCTGAGTCTGAGGCTAGCTAGAATTATCCCAGCTTTTTTGACACTCTTGCTGCACTTGTGCAAATCAGTGACAGTTATGCTTTCCTCTCCATTAAACTGTCAATCCTTCCAGACCAGGAGACCAAGACCCCCATTTTCTAATATACACTTGGCATCTAGAATGTTTTAGTCAATGTTTAATTCTTGTAATTCCATGGCCATTGGGGTTTTGGATACACCAGATAGGCTAGTTTGAACATCATCATTCTTAGTACCATAAGTTCATTGTTAAGTGTGTTACCACCCAAAATCTTAGAGGCCTGTAACTCTTTGTTTTTTGAAGGGGAGAAAGAGATTCCCCCCACCCCCTCTCCATTCCTGATACACACTGAATCTTGAATTTAAGAATGAGATTGTCCTAGACTTAAACCCCAGTTTTGCCCCCTATCAACTGTATGCCTTTGAGAAAATTAACCTCTCTAAGACTCCATTTCCTCAGTTGCAAAATTCACATTCTATTAATTGCAAGTATTGAACATTGCCTGGCATGGTGCTTGGCGTGTAGGAAGTGTTCCAAAAATGATATCCACTTATTCTATGACTTCTTCCCATATAGTCCTTTTTTTTTTTTTTTTTTTTAAGCAGAGAGGGTAAGTGTGTTAATGTCCTTTTGGGGCACATTTGGAAAAGTGTATCTGTAAAGAGGGAGCTGACCCACCTTCAACCAGGGCCTAGACTACCTCCAAGGGAGTGAGAGAAGTCATAAATATGCAGGGCCAGATCTTGTTTTTATATATAATATTGCTATTTTGTTCATCATGGATTTTTTTGGCATTGATTCTGACTTTTAAAAATACTACATTAAGTATTATTTATCTTGATAACCTACTTTTTTGGCACCCCTTTCAATTTTGTGCCCAAGGCAATGCTTCGTTCACCGGGCTCTAATCCTGCCCTGCCTACAGCACTTTGTGCTAGTCACACCACGATCTAGGTCCTGGACTAATGCAGGCAGAGAAGCCTGTCGAAAAGACCCAGGATTTTCACCCGACTTTGAACTAGTGCTCCCCAAGCCCTAGAGGGCATACTGGATCCGAAGGAGCAGAAGGAGTGGACTACAACTTCCAGAAGGCCGCGCAGCGCGGCGCCCTCGCCAGATTGGCTGCGCGGGCCCCGCCCCCGCCCCCGCCCCCGCCCCGCCCCTACCGCGAGGGCCCAGGGCGGCGAGCCCGGGGCCAGCGCGCTTCCGAAGCCGGCTACCGAGTGGAATCTCGCCCGGCCAGCAGGCTTCATGGCGGTGAGGCCGGTGTCCCGGATGCTGCAGCGGGTGCTGAGGTCCAGCGTCCGGAGCTGCAGCACGGGGGCTCCAGTGACGCAGCACCGCCCTGGGGAGCCCTCCCAAACTGCTGCGGAGGTGAGCCCGCCCACATCCATACCTTCCCCGGGAAGGGCGGCCGGCCAGCTGTCCTTGACTCCGAGAAGCACCCAGGCCGGGCTGCGAGGGCCGCTTCTGGAAGGGATCCCTCAGGGCTTCCTTGCGGGTGGGGAAAGGAGTGGAGGGATGCTCTGTAAGCTGCCCAGTCTCACCTGATACCCCAAGGGACGGGCGCTTCTTGGGGTAATGCTTAATCACCTCCCTGCCCACCCAGCCATGCAACCCCCTTCAAGGTCTGAGTGACCGCCAGACATGGGGAAGCAGGTAGGTAGGACTCTGGGTCCAGTGAATTGTTAATTGTACCCTTCTCAGCCCTGCAGCGCCCACCCTGTTTCTTGAACATTTTCTTCCCCTCCCCCCCCGCCCCATGAAAGGTTGTCTGTGACCAGGTGTTCTTGTGACACCCTGCTTCGTAGTGTGACACCAGTTAAAAATGTCACCTTGGGGGGCGCCTGGGTGGCTCAGTCGTTAAGCGTCTGCCTTCGGCTCAGGTCATGATCCTAGGGTCCTGGGATCGAGCCCCGCATCAGACTCCCTGCTCATCGGGAAGCCTGCTTCTCCCTCTCCCACTCCCCCTGCTTGTGTTCCCTCCTCGCCTCTCTCTCTGTCAAATAAATAAATAAAAGCTTTAAAAAAAAAAAGTCACCTTTGTGCCACCAGTAGTCACTGGTCACGTCTGTAGTTAGAGGGCTCTGTGACTTGTCCTTCACTCTTTCGGTTTCATCTTCGTGTCCTTAGGAGGGCTCAGCTTCATTCTTGAGCAGAAGGGAGCAGGATCCCTGTCCAGATTAGGAATCCCAGTTTTTCTTAAGGTTTGGGATAGGCCCCTTCAGTCCTTGACAGCGCACCACAGAGTGATTCATGTCATAACAAGTTTTAAGTTTAGTGTTCTTTTGCTCATGTGGTTAGGGAATAATTTTGGGAGAAGCATCTCTTTTTCATTTGGTAAAACCTCTTTTCCAGACCCACCCGGTCATTCTTTTCCCATTTCTTAGCACAAGACTTCACTCCCTGGAAATCATCAGATCTCTTCCCCCCCCCCCCCCCCACACACTGCCACTATTGCTCAATGAGGGGGAGGGCCTTGGCCTAACTTGCTTTCCCTGAGTCTGATCCCCTTTGGATCTTCAGTAATCAGGCCTCATTGCTGGGAAGGAAAGGTTTTCAGTTTCCTTGAACTGCGAACTTCATTGAGGGGAAAAGCAGGAACACAAGAATTGCTGAGAGAGCCTTAAAGAATTCAGGAAAAGGGAAGTTTTTTCTTCTCCTGCCCCTAATTTCCTTTGTGCTCTTCAGGAAGGGATCTGTGCCAAGTGACAGATCTCTCTTTCTCTCTTTTTTTAAGATTTTATTTATTTGTCAGAGAGCACAAGCAGGGGGAACGTCAGGCAGAAGGAGAAGCAAGGAGCTCCTTGCTCCTGCTGAGCAAGGAGCCTGATGCGGGACTCGATCTGAGGACCCTGGGATCATGACCTGAGCTAAAGGCAGCTGCTTAACCGACTGAGCCACCCACGTGTTTCCATACTTGGTCTCACAGTAAATCACGTGAGGTTGAGAGTTTGTATTTTCAGGTAATGGGGCTCACCAAAGTTAACTTTCCTGGCGTCACAGAGCTGAAAATAAGGGAGCAGGAGGAACTAGCCCCTGTGCTCCCGCTTCTTCCTTACAGGGAGAGTAGAATGAGAGGCTATCCCTCCCTTTCCTTTACCCTGTAAGGGGGAGATGTAACTAGCTAGGTAAGAACACAGACTCTGGAGCAGAATGCCGTCATGGGAAGCCCAGGCCTACCTCTGAGTAGGTATGTGAACTTCAGCAAGTCCCTTCGCCTCCCAGGGCCTCAGTCTTCTCATCTGTAAAATGGGAGTAAGTGTCTACTTCATAGAGTGGTTCTAGAGATTAAGAGTTAGTATATGTTGATATATATACTTAGATCAAAACTTAACCCACGTAGGTGCTGTGTTATGTACATATTTGTTGTAGTTATTGTCAGCCTCGCCACAATTGACACATGCTGTGTCCCACTAGTCCCTTCCCACTGGACACTCAGGATAGCCATTCTGTCAACTCTTTGGTCCTAGACCTCCTATGCTGGACATTCCCTGCCAGGGTTACCCTCAGCAGGCAGGTTGCTCCTCGAGTGTTGGGTGCTTCCCCACCTTTCTAGGTATTTCTGCACGGTGCTGAACATGGTGCTCTGCAGGCAGTGGAGTTAGCAGATAGTTTGGGCTGTTTGAAACTCAAGCGAGTGAGGGGGCCACGTGGAATGGTAGAGCACTGGACAGGGAGCCCCAGGTTTTCACCTTCACTCTGTCTCCAATTTCACTTGGCTCCTAGGGCTGTCACTTTCCCTCTTTCCAGCCAGAGGGTTGGCCCAGCCCATCTTTACGCCATGGGGGAGGGCACAGAATGTCTTTAAGAAAATCTCCTGAGGTGAGGCAAGCCTGGAGATCTCTATGGTCAACCTATTCACCGAACTTGCTAGTTGGCAAGAGCAGGAGTGGGGCATTGGGAATCCCTGTCCCCGCCTCTCTTCCCGCACCTTTCCCTCCACCCTGGGAAGTGCTTGCAGAGACAGAGGGAAAAGCCACTGAGTGTTAAATGTTCGTGTGTCAGGGTGTTGGTATGGGGGAGACATGAGGTGTGAAATGGGAGCTGGCTGTGAGGACAGTGGAAGTGGGCCTTGGGCTTGGTCAGAGGACAGGTTGAGTGGCTTCTACAGGTGGAAAGGGGAGGTGGTGGGGTGTGGGTTAAGTGGGGAGGTGGGTAGGGGAGACACAGCTACCTGCTGTCCTGATTGGGGTGGTCCACATAACCTCTGCAGGGCTTACCCCAGCACAGAAGCATGACATCCCTCTTCCTTCTTCCCAGGCTCCATGCAGGCTTTGCTGGGACCACAGGGGGCTAGCCTCAGGTCCTGGGCCTGCTGCCTTGGGGCAGGGGAGAGGGTGACTTTTTGCAGGGCAGAGGAACCCAGTATTCAGAGGGTCACAATGAACAAATGTTGGAGAGGGGGTGTTATGCAGGAAGGAAGTGGATGTAGGAGAAGGTAGGGGACGGTAGGCCTGGCCTGGGACAGTGATACACAAAGGGAAAGAACAACTTTCCGGGGTTATCTTGAGTTCCAGTCTTTCCTTCAGAATCTTTGCTTTGGTGAAGTGTGACTGTTCATGCCAGGAGCCATAGGTGTAAAGACCCCACATTTAGGGAGGGATGGAGGGAGAGGGGGGGGATCCAGACTGGGGCCTAGGCGCCTTGCTGGGTCTTCTTGTTTAACAGAGATTAATTTTGAGTCACCCCTGGTATACGTCCTCCCAAATAGCAAGGATCCCAAATCAGAGCCACTGATATCTGAGTTTGGAATGTGTTCTTTTTCTCAATAACCCTATTTATTATATTCTAGAGCTATTTGGGGCCTGGCCTTTATCATTCAAACCAAATGCCCAGAGTTAGTGACTACTTGGAGGGCAGCATCCCTCCCTTAACTAAGTCCTTTGCATCCTTTGCACCACTCTTCCCCACCCGCACCCCGTGCCCCAGTCCACACTGGGCAGGTAGACAAGATACACCCGGTAGCAGATGGTAGGCTGCCTTGGGCCTGGTCATCCATGGTCCTGGAGGAGCTCCAACTCCACTTTCCCTGCTTTGGGGGGTGTGACAGCAGGTCGAAACCCCAGCCTTGGCCCATCTGCCATTAAGTACAGTTGGGCCTTGCAGGACTGACTAGGGGAGCTGGCAAGAGTGGGAAAACTAGTCACAGCACACAAGTTAGAACTCCTCCATGAATCTGTGTTTAATAAACCAATATATGTAAGTAGGAATTCTACTAAGAAAACGGCAGCGATCACTTATTGAATACCTGCTGTGTCCTAGGAACTCCTCCAACTGAGTCATGGAGAATTATTTTCCACCCTTTATGGATTAGGAAACTAAGGCTTAAGAATTTGGGTGATTTGCTCTACAGCTAGTTAGTAGTAAAGCCGGGCTTGCAATTAGGTTTACCAGCTCCCGGAGTCTGTGCTCTGAACCACAACAACTAGCCCTGGATTAAAATAGCTCCTGATCCTGGTATCGCAGGGCCAGTGGTTCTCAGCCAAGCTGCAGAGTAAAGAGCTGAGACATTGAAAACAAACAAACAAACAAAAAGCCAGGGCCCAATCCCAGAGCAATGGAGTCAGAATCTTTGGAGTGGGGCTCTCAGGCCTCAGCACTTCTTAGAAGCACTGGTGGTAGTTTTGATGTGCAAATTGTTGAGAGCCACTGTCCTAGGCGAAGCCATTTTGACAGTGGAGACCAGCCCAGAAATGAATGATGACCCCAGTGTGACTGGTTTTGCACACACTACCTTCCTCTTCCGATTAAGGACCAGTCTATTTAGTTCATTGACATACATGCATTGACACAGTGACATACCATGTAGACGCCGGGATTCCGAATCAGGCAAGAAGGCTTCCCACACGGAAGTGGGGGGCGGGCCCAGCCTGGTCCAGGCGGGGCTCTGAGGCTGTGAGATGCTTCTGACATGTCCCAGGCCTTCTTGGGTGAGAGGCATCACTGTCCACCCTACACGGTCATGCCCTCTGGGTCCAGGGCTCCTCTGACTGCTGCTATTTTTTCCTCCAGGGGGTTTTTTAAAGGAAAGGGAGAGATGGAAGAATGAAAGTAGGACATGCAGTGGTGGAGGAGAGAAGAGGCAGGGATGAGGCTTGTTAACATCACAGTGATGAGCTTGCAAGGCTGGCCAGGTGAGAGACTGTGTGTGCGTGTGTGTGGTTCTGCCAGTACAGAGTCTGGATGAATCTGGATAAAGTCACTCTAAGTCTCAGAAGTGAAATCCAGCCTGTCCCACCCCGCCCCCCCCAACCAGGGCCACAACAGAGCGTCTGATTATGCTCTTCTTGGCCGGTTACTCCGCTTGCTCCCTCGTTTCTGCTGAGTCATGTTCCTTGGTCCTCTCACTTGCTCCCAATTGGTGCACTTTGACTCCTCCCTCACCCAGCCAACAACCCCCAATATGTTAAGAATAGGGTGAGGGTGACTGGTGAGGGGCTGGGGTCTGGGGTGACTAACAGATTCCTAAGTTGCAAAGAGCTGTTGACGAAGGATTGGGTGCAACTCTGCTGGAAATTCAGCCTTCCAGGTATCTGATTTCTTGGACCGTGGTGGCCAATGGGGCTCTTGACTCTGTCATGTCCCCTGCCCCACTCCCAGGGCTACAGGTGGAAAGGCAGTGGGGTGAGTAGGGAGGTAGGAAGCACTGTTAGGATTGTAGCAGACAGCAGTTCAGAGAAGTGACCGCTGTTTGCTTGTCATGGGACTGTAAGCAGGGTTTCTTGGAGGATGGGGGGGACACTGGTGTTGGGGTGAGCAGAGTGAGGTCACTTTTATGCACCCAGGAAAATCCTGGAAGCACCCCCACATACGTTCGCTCCTATCCCTTCTATCTCCTGAGTCAGCGGCCCTTGACCCTGGCTGTACTTTAGAATCACCTAGACAGACTAAAAACGTGAGTGCTCAGATATCCAAATTCAGTTGCTCTCCAGTGGAAGGTTTTTGTTAAGCTGCCAGGTGGTTCTGACGTGCAGCTGGGGCTGAGGAAGTCATTGAAGGAAATGTTCCTGCTGGGTGCAGGCAAACAGTTACCCTGAGCCTCTGGGGGGCCTGAAGCCTTCTGCTGTCGTAGGTTACAAGATCATGATAATCCTAGATGTTTACTTGCCAGTTTCCTGACCCCCTTCCCTTGGCTTACCCGAGCCCTTAGCTGTGTTCTTATTTTACAATGGGGTAAATGGGCCTGGAGAAGTCAGAGAGCTTTCTCAGGATGTCAGGTCACACCTGGCCCAGAAATCAGTCCAGAGCCCTGTCCAGAGACCTCATGAAAGACCTCATGATCGACCTCGTGATTTCTTTGTTATAAAGATTCTAAAGAAAGGACTTCTCCCCCACCCTGTGCACCACCCCATGTACCTTCTTGGATTCTCCCTTTGCAGTAAGAATTTAGACTTTGGACTCAGAAGACCTGGATTTGCATCCTGGTTCTGCCAGTGGTATTCTTGAACCCCATGCAAGCTTCACTTACAGTAATCCCTTATGGGACAGGTGTGGGAATTGAACAGAGAACATTCTTCGGAAACTTGAAGATGTTTTGTGAATGTTGCTTCTATGGAGCAATTTTCTCATCAGCATCTGTTGTGACTGAGGGTTGTGCGCTCAAGGCAGGAGATCAGACTTGGGGAAACACTGAGGTTGGCCGCCTCCTTTCTCTCCCCAGGAGGAGTTTGGGTGAGCCATGCAGGGAGGCTCCAGCAATCTCCTCCCTCTGAGGCCCCAGACAGTGGATGCTTACTCCTTCCAGCAATGGGTGGGGTGAAGGATGAAGACTAGAGTCATCTCTGCAGGGGGTTAGTGGGTGATCATCCTGGCCCCTCCCTTCTGCCTTCCTAGAGGCTGGTGACCTCCTTCCTTCTGCAGGCCTCCCTGGTTGTGCTGTCCTTGCCCCAAAAGCCTTCTGCTTGAGGGGAGCCCTCTCTGTGAGTGTACTCTACCCTTCCCAGCTGGGTGTCGTCCTCAGCCACTCCCGATGGCTTGTTCGGTCCTCCAGGGCAGTGCTGAGGCCCCAGGGAGCCCAGCTGACAGGGGGTAGCTATGAGGAGGCACTTGTGTGACACTCACCCCCCAGAGTTAGTGAGCTAGCGTTGAGCTCCTTCTGTCTCCCATTGGGAAGGGAGGGAATGGGAGGTCTGGGTTAGAGACATGGCTCACCATGTCCCAGGCAGCCACCGTCCCGCTCAGTTACCCGCTCCCTCTCTCCCCCTTTCTGGACACACTAACTTTCCATTTGGCGTAGTTGCCAGATGCCAAGTGGCACATTCTCTCCCACTGACCCACCCCAGAAATACTGGAGATGTTTGTTCCTAGACAGGCTTCCTTTGAAGGAGGGGGGTGGGTGGTAAGATGGTGACGGAGAGAAAAGGCTGGGGGTGGGGCAGCTGTGTCCCTATAGAGGTCCTGCTCCCTGGGGTTGCGTTGGGGCCTTGGGGACAGGTCCTAACCTGCAGGCCTGTTTCCCAGTCTGTGAGTGAGAGGGAGAATCCCAGCTCCCCCAGGACTGCAGGGATGAGAGTGGGGGAGGGGATGCCCGATGGGAGGGGGCTTTATGTCCCGGAGGCGGTGGGCCCTCCACGCCCCTCTCCCCCAGCCAGGGCCCAGAGGCCCACGCCTCCTCTGCCCGGCATTTCAGGAGCTGTCCAGGCGGAGACAGTTCCTGCGGGAGCACGCGGCCCCCTTCTCCGCCTTCCTCACCGACAGCTTCGGCCGGCAACACAGCTACCTGAGGATCTCGCTCACCGAGAAGTGCAACCTCAGATGTGAGTCCCCTTCCTGGGCCCCTGCCCCCCTGCTGAGGCATCTTCTGAAATCTCCCCATGCCCAGGAAGCCTCTGCAACCCTCCCCATTCCTCGTCCCAGCATCTCCTCCCACCCTTCTTCCCTGCTTGCCAGGTGAGGTTGTGGGGCAAGATAAGGGTCAAGGTTGAGTTTTAGGATCCTGGAAGCTGAGCTCTACTTGGAACTAGATTTGAGAACAGAATTGCAATGGAGATTGGACCTAAATCTCAGTCTGCAGGGCTCTTCCTCCCTCCCTCCTATTTTGCACGGTTCCCAGCATTCAGGACATGGCCAGGGGCGGGCGTGGGGGTGCTGGACACCGCAAGCACGTGAGGTACACAGCAGTGCCCGTGGCCGGCACTGCCGGCCACAAGACGCCCCAGGCCTGTGACAGAAGTTGCTTGGGGCCAGGCTGACACACAGAGTATTCATCTCGTAATCATTTACGGAGTGCTCCGGAGGTGTGGCTGCTGCTGGAGGGACTTCCAAAATTTGTCTCTCTCCCTCTCTCCTGCTTTCCATGGTTTCTCCCAATAAGAAATGTATTTACTTCATGGCCCAATAAGTACATGTGTGTATGTAGTAAACGTTTAACCAAACAATACTCACTGCATGCGGTTCTGATGTTCTGATGTTCTTTACCTATTCTATTCTATCTTAAAAGACCAGTTCTGGACCCCTCACTAATTTGACTAAATGACCCTATACTAGGTCTCGACCCAGTCCTTGATAAAACTCCCACAGGAGCTAATGCAAGGGGACGGTGCTCCCTCGCCCTCCAGGGCTCCCTGCATTTGCCCCATTCTGCTACCTCCCCCTGAACAAGTAGTACCTCAGTTTTCCAACCTGTGAAATGGGACTGGTAACCTGAAATAGGCAGGACATGAGAGCACTTGTCGCTACAGACGAGGGTGACTTTTCACAGGCCTCATGACCCAAGCACACAGGGTCACTATTTGCCACAGCAAATAGTGGAATGAAAGGGGTGACCAGTGCCGGAAGGAGTGGGCCCAGGGCCCAGGACTGCCAGGCAGACCCTGCCTAGCTGCCCCTATGCTGAGGGAATCAGAGTCTTGGCATCCCTCACGTTGGGCTGGGCTCTGCTCTCGGCCTGCTTCATCCTCTTTAACCTGTTCCCTCAGTCTCCCCTCTGAGGGAAGAGGCAGTGTTAACATGCCATAGATGAGAAAGGCGAGGCCCGGAGAGAATCTGTAGTGTTTGTACCAGCTCAGATTTGGCGGGCTCGTTCCTCACCATCCAGGTGGGGATCAGGAGAGACGTCTGGCCTGGTGGGGGAGTGGGGGTCTCAAGGCACCATGGGCCGCTGTGCTGTAGTCACGGCCTTCCTCTGCATCCCCTCCCTTCCTCAGGTCAGTACTGCATGCCCGAGGAGGGTGTCCCGCTGACCCCCAAGGCCGACCTGCTCACCACAGAGGAGATCCTGACCCTTGCACGGCTCTTTGTGAAGGAAGGTATAGACAAGATCCGGCTTACAGGGGGAGAGCCGCTCATCCGGCCGGACGTGGTGGACATTGTGGGTAAGTTTGAAAGCTGCGGCCACTTCTCCCAGCTCCTGCTGCATCCAGCTGCGCTTTGGTATTCATATCGGCAGCTGACATCCATTCAGAACCTAGTGTTCACTTGGCCCTACCACCTTCTGAGATGGCTACCGTTGTCATCCCTGTCTTATTAGGAAATGAGGCACAGTTCAGTAACTTGTTCAAGGTCGCAAAGCTGGTAAGCGCCAGAGCCCAGTGGCTTGCTGTCACATTTAGACTAAAGTCCTCACCGGGGCCTTGAGGGCCACGTGGTCTGGCTTTTGCTGACCTCTGAGACCTCTTGCCTGCCCCTCTGCCTCCGTCCCGCCCCTCCATGCACACCACCAGGCCATTGGACTCGCTCTTTTAGCCGGGAACACAGGGCACACTGCCTGCCTCGTTCGGGTCTCTGCACACATGTCCTCCTTGACCACTGTCTCCAAACTACATCCCCACGTCCACACCCCAGCCACTCTCTGTCCCAGAAGTTGGCAAGCTAGAGCCCACAGGCCTAATCTGGGCCATCAACTATTTTTGTATGGCCTGCAGGCTCAGAATGGTTTTTATATTGCTAAATGGTTAAAAAAAAAAAAAAATCAAAAGAAAATAGCATTTTGTGACACATGAAAATTATATGAAATCAGAAATTTACTGTTTGTTAATAAAGTTTTATTGGAACATAGCTGCACCTGCTCATTTACGTATTTCCCAGAGCTGCATTTCCAGAGCTGAATAGTGCTGGCCACAAAGACCATGTGGCCAGCAAAGCCAAAAACAGTTACTATCTGGCCTTTTCAGACAAAGTGTGGCAACTCCTACTCTATCCCCTTCTTCTACCTTATTTTTTCTTCATAGCATTTGTCTCATCCACGGATATGTTACTTGGTTGTATGTTTATGTTTCCTTTATACTGTCTCTTCCTGCCATTAGCTGGCATGAAAGCTGTCGTTGCTGAGGCAGCTTTGGTTCCCAGCCATGTTCCCAGCATGTGGGCACATGCCTGACACGGAGCTGGTGCTCACTGGTACTTACTGGTTTGAAATGCGATCTCTGAAGTAGGACATTCCTGCGTGTGAATGTCGGCTGTGCCTCTTACTAGCAGCATAGCTTTGGGCAACCTTTTTTTTTTTTTTTTGAGATATTTATTTATTTATTTATTTATTTATTTATTTATTTATTTGAGAGAAAGAGAAAGCGTGAGCACAAGCGGGGGCGGAGGCGGGAGTGGCAGAGGGAGAGGAAGAAGCAGGCTCCCTGCTCAGGAGCCTACAGGGGGCTCAATCCCAGGACCCTGAGATCAGGACCTGAGCCAAAGGCAGACGCTTAACTGACAGCCACCCAGGTGTCCCTGCGTAACTTTTAAAATCCATTCTAAGCCTCCAAGTAGAGATGAAGTTGACCTGGGCAGGAAGTGAGCAGGAAACGCCCAGCACATGGCAAAGCATTCTGTAAGGGGTCACCCCAGAGGGCCTCGTGCCATGCCTTGCTTCTACTCCCCAAGGTCAGGCAGAGAGAGACCTTAGCTTCTATAGTTACAGATGATGAAATCACAGGAAAATAAGGCTCTGTGTTCTTGGTTCTGAGCTCCCACCCCTGCTGCTCTGGCGGGGGGATCTTCCAGGCCTCCGTTCTCTGCTTCATTCGCTGGTTCAGTGTATGTTCTCTGGAGGCTTCTTATATGCCTGATACTGTGCTGGGAGCACAAAGGTGACTGAGCTGCAGACCCTGCCCGGGAGGATCCACAGCCCATTGCTGGAGGCAGCCGCCGGAGCCAGCTGTCTGGTAAGGACCGACCAAGGGGAGCCCAGGTGCCGTGGAAGCCCAGAGGAGGTGCCCCTGACAGCCCCTGGTCACGTGACCTGGCATCCTACCATCATTCCTGTGCTGGAGGAGCTGACCCCCTGTTCCAGATGGCTCTTCAGAGCTGAAAGCAGCCCGGCTTCCAGGAAACAGTTGAACCTGCTGAGCCCGGCTGACTGCCAGGCACAGCGCCCTCATTCAGGCCACATCATCTGCCCTCTGCCATGGGCTGCATCTTAAACCCCTGTGTTCCATGACAGGGCCTGTGGGAGAGCAGAGGGATGACTGAGTACAGACACGAGGACACGGGCCTTTCCATGGGAGCCGCTGACCTGCATAGTGGCAGGAATGGAAACCAGGAAAGTTGGCAGCCCTGTTCCCGCTCTGCCACTGCCCAGCCAGGGGAACTTCTGCAGATTCCTTCCCCACTCTGAGCCTCGGTGTCCTCATCTGTGCACTGGCCACTTCAAGGGCCTTTCCTGCTGTGATGGCCCATTGGTCATGGGAACTGGCTGACCAATAAGGGTTGATCAGCACACAGATGTTAGGTAGGACAAGGCCGCCACCGCAGTGACCTGCTAAGGAGGATTTACCTCCCACTCCCAAGAGTGCCGGTTGACTGGGAAAGACAGTCCCCCCCTCCCCCCCAGGGCTGCAAAAGAAGACAGCTGCTAGGCTGTGGATTGCTGGGGCGCTGTGCTCACTGACACTTTGACATCTCTCAGCCTAGCAACTTTGGTCTTGCCCAGAGGCACTTCCCCAGAGCAAAGCTGCCCTGAAGGGCAGGGCGGGTGGGTGTTATTGGGGAAGCAGGGCTGAGGGGAGGGGAGGGAATAGCACTCAGAGCTGGGATGCTCACCAGCACTTGTCCCCACCCTCCCAGGTGGGAGTAGCGAGGGACCCCACTCAGGGGTGTAGAGCGAAAGGGTTGCAGGTTTGTCGGAGCCTGCTGTCCCCAATCACTTCGGATCCCTGCCCGAAGCACTGTCCATCTTGGGCCTGGTGCTGCAGACCTTCCCAGGGGAAGACTGCTCAGCCCGCTTTGGCTCCCCATCTGCCATTACTGTGACCCCCCTGGGCCAACCCAGACTCCCCAGCGCTTCCCACCCCCCACCCCCAACCCCGGCTTGTGTGTGGACGAGTTCCTCTACCCCTTCTTTTTCAGCAGAGCTGTCTGGAGCAGGACTGCCCACCAGAACTCTTCTGGCTGGTGGCACTGTTCCTATCCGTGCTGTATGACACGGTCGCCAGGGCTCACACGCAGCCTTGGGCACTTGGCCGGTGTGACGGAGGAACTGAATTGTAACTGAATCGATGTAACTTCATTACATCTTAATTAATTGAAATTGCCACACATGGCCAACGGCTGTCATGTCAGACAGTGACAGTTTGGGATTTTTGTATTTATCATTCTTTATCTCATTTTTAAAAATGAGAGAAGCATTTTTGAGCTTGATGAGGACCGTGCTGTGTGTCTTTCAGGGCTTCCTCTTTCGATGCAGCCGGACTTCGTACGCGTCGTCCTGAGTTGCAGTTTGTTCCTTTTCTCTGCCGTTCCGTTGGTGAAGATAGCACCCTTTATCCTGCTAGGGAGCATTTGGGCTCTTTCCAGTGTTTTGACGTGTCAAGTAGCACTGTTTAGAACATTTTTTATTCTCGTTCGTGTGTCCTGGAGTGCACTTCATGTAGGAGTAGGATTGTTGCCTGGTAGAATGGGTGAATGTTTAACTTTGGAAAACAGTTTGGCGTTATCTTACAAAGCGTTTGTTGCAGCTTCCTCTGACCCACGTCCTCCTCAGCACTCAGTATTCTTATTCTGGATTTTTGCCAGTTGAACGAGGATGAAATGGTATTCTCTTTGGTCTTAATTTGTATTTCCCTGTTTAAGAATGAGGTCCGGCATCTCTCATCGTGTTTATCAGTCCCAAATATCTTTCTTTTCCTGTGTAATACCACCTCCTGTCTTCTGCCCCTGTTTCTCTTCTTTCTGTTGTAATTTTCTTTCATATTGGTTTGGTAAAAGTTCTTTACTTATGTTGCAAATGTCTCTTACCAGTTTGAAAAAATAAGCAACATTTTGTATAATAATTCTTTTGATCAATAGCAGTTCTTCAGTGGATCAGTTTTGTCCTTTATGGTCAGTGCTTTTTACATCTTTTAAAAGAAACACTCCACTCAAGGTCAGAACAGCTCCCTGTTTCCACTAAAACAGTTAAAATTTTGCTTTTTGCATATTTAAGTCCTTAGTTCATCTGTGGCTGGTTTTTGGGAATCCAGTTTCATTTTTTTTTTTTTCCATGTGATAGTCATTTTCTCTAGTTCCTTCTTATTGAAGCCTCTGCTTCCTCGATAAATCTGCCATGTGTGCATTTGTGCATTGGGTGCTGTTCTTGGGTTAGCTTGTCTGTCTCAATGCCAATGTCATACAGCCTTCACCACTAGCTTCACAGTAAGGCCACTGTCTGGTCGAGCAAATTCTTTTTATTCTTTAGCAGTGCTTTAGCTATATGCTTTGTCCATGGACATTTTAGAATCAGCTTAGCAAGTTCCATGGAAAATTCTGTTTGGATTCTTTTTTTCTTTTTTTCTTTTTATTGTGTTAAAATACGCATAGCATAAAATTTACCATCTTAACTTTTTTTTTTTTTTTTGAGAGCAAAAGCTCACGCACGCGCACATATACACGTGAGTAGGCAGGGTGGGGCGGAGGGAGAGGGAGAGAATCTTAAGCAGGCTCCACATCGAGTGTGGAGCCTGATGCGGGGTTCGATCTCATGACCCTGAGATTCTGACCTGAGCCAAAATCAAGAGTCGGGCGCTTAACTGACTGAGCCACTCATGTGCCCTATCTTAACTATTTTTAAGGAAACAGTTCAGTGGTATTAAGTACATTCACACTGTTGTGCACCATCCCCACCATCCATACCCATAGCTTTTCATCTTGTAAATCTGAAACTCTGTACCCATTAAAAAATAACTCCCCATTCTCCACTCTTCCCGGCCCCTGGCAAACACCGTTATGCTTTGTCTTTATGATTTGGGCTACCCTAAGAATTTCATATAAGTGGAATCATGCAGCATTTGTCTTTTTGTCTCTGGCTTATTTCATTTAGCATAATGTCCTCAAGGTTCATCCATGTTACAGCATTTCTTTTTAAAGCTGAATGATATTTATGTATATACCATGTTTTGATAATCCA